AGCCACCCAACTCCCACTTATGCACCGGAAGGACATTTCTCTTCTTAAACTTGGTTTAGAAAGGCCAACCTTTCTCTTGGTCCAGAGTCTGATTGAGATGCAACACAAAAGCCTGCAGTTGGTTTTGTCCTGTCCTGTTTTGTTTCCTGGATGCTTCATTCATAAAAAGGTGGAAAAAAAACCAATGATGTTAATTTGCCTCCATCCGAGATTTAAAAAAACCAGACAGTGCAAATAATAATCTAATAACCATTGATGTGCGTTGCCACAGGGAGATTGGAAGTGGCAAGGACCTTTTTAGCTTCCGGTTAATTGAGCACATCTGCGGACAGATTTGGGGTTGACAGAACATTCTGACAGCAGATGACATCTGCAGCCAAGTGACATTTCTCTTTCAATACCTAAGAGGGATTTAAGAATCTCACACCCACCAAAGCCCTGGAACAATCCATTTCAATGTAAACCAAGGGTAGGCAACCCATGGCTCCAGAGCCACATGAGACTCTTTTGGCCCGCTGCTGTGGCTCCCTGTTGGCTGATCCCATCCCTGGCTGGCACCACCCCTCCCCTCCCTGTCACTCCTCACCTAGCCTGAGAAGGTTAAGGGTGATGGCAGGGGATGGAGATTCGCTCCGTATTCCACAGCAGGAGGTGACTGGGTGGGAATGAGCGTTCTTCTCTACAGAAGAACAGACACAAAATGGTCTCACTAGACAACTGGTTGTAACTTGAGAACTACCTATTTATCTTCGCCAGTTTTTAATGGCTAATTTTCACGGGGGATGAAATCAAAGTGGAACCTTATTTAAGGTTCAAGGAAACAGGTGACTCTTTCTCTGTGGACGTGAAATTCAGATAAATGAAACCAGACATATAAATTAGCTTACAAACTCTGCTTTGTAACTTCTTTGAACTAAATAAACTAAAGAACCACAATAAATATTTCCAAGAACTGTTTTTTTTTTTCTTTTGTAGGTCTACAGAGAGCTAAAGGTCGTCCACAAACAGAATTCCTGCTGATATTCCCCCCCTTTCAGTCTTTTGACCAAATAGATTCTTCACATGTGCAGGTGGTCTTTTAATGAATGAATTAATTGCACAACCTCTCTATATAAAAGCAAAATACCCCTCACACATCATCACAAAATCTCCACAACCATCAAGCCTACAAACTTGAAATTTGGCACGTTTGTTCCTCTTGGCTTCTAGGGGCTCACTGAGAAAGGATTTTTCCAAATGACCCTCAGAGCATTTAGAGTATTTCCTATATTATTATTCTCATTATTAACATGCTCTAATGCTAAGGAGTTCCACTCCCCCTCCCCACCTGAAAAGAAATCTCTTCCAAATGAAAAACACAAGCAGAGGAGAGGAGTTTCAGTTTCAGTTTTACAGCAGCACCAAGCAGCTTTAGTACAGAACAGTTGAGCTAAGCCACACCCAGGCTCCTTGCTGTCTCCTTCCTCACACAGCAAATACTGCTTCAGTTTCCAAACAGCCCTCAACTCTCTCACACACTGACAGGACGCTAACCAGATGAATACCCATGGATGCTGGTAGGCAGAAGCAGAATTCCCCCCCCCCTTATTTTCCTCCCCAAAAACTAAGCCGAACCCCCTGTAGTGAAGGATGGGTATCCAGCTAGTTAATGAATAATCATGTAAAGGTTGATAAGAGATCCCATTTAACCATATTAAATCTGAAATTAAGCTAGAAATAGCAGCTCTCTTTCCTAAGCCAGAGAGGACAGTACCTAGGATTGTGTTATGCATTCATTGTTTAATTGCAACTCGATTCTTGTATAAAGCATTTTTATGTGTATTTTTACCACATATTCTAAGGCAGATAAAGCAAATGAGGCTGCATCCTGTTTTCATTGATCGATTCTTCAAAATGCATGATCAGCTAGACTTTTCCTGACAGGGAAGAATTCTTGGGGCTGAATTTATTGTCTTAATTATCTTTAGATAGCCACCTTAAACACATTTGGGGAGATAAAAAAACACTTTGGTAAAGACACAGATTTCCCTTCCATTCTCCTTAAACCATAACAATGGGCTTAAATGGTCCATTAAAGCACAATTTTTATTTGTTTATTTGTTGGTTGCCTTGGCTGCTGAAAACAGAACAGAAATCAAAGAAACAAACCCCCTCCAGTGATCATCCTTCAATTCTGCCAATGCCTTAATTACTTTTTCCCTCCTTCTGATGCCGCTGGGAAGAATCAACTATATCGCAGCCATTTGTCTGATAACCGGAGTTTAGCTGAACGGAAACCTTTCCTGTTTAATCGTAATCCCAGAATAAGATAAGCACAGAATCCTGGAAGAGTCTCATTAACTCTCTCTCTCTCTCTCTCTCTCCCTCCCTCCCTCCCTCCTGGAGAGAGAGGTGGGGAGAAGGAGAGAGGAGGAGGAGGAGGAGGAGGAAGAAAAACTAGGCAAACTAGAAGAGCTAGAAGAAGCAGAAACATAAGAAGCAGAAGCAAAAGAGGAAGAAGA